AACTTTTGGCGCCGCCGCGGAAATAACAGCGCAAGTCCACGTAGCTCTCCCGAGGCACCCAGTCCGCCCTAAACCCCAAACCCTAAACCCTAAACCCTAAACCCTAAACCCTAAACCCTAAACCCTAAACCCTACACTCTAAACCCTAAACCCTAAACCCTAAACACTGGTTTTAAACCCTGGACCCTGAACCCTTGTTCCTTGGCGGCACAGCAACACGCTCAGATGAAGCAACTGTTGAAATGCATTCTGCATCCCCAAACCCTAAACCCTAAACCCTACAGCCCAAACCCTAAACCCTAAACCCTAAACCCTAGCTCATAAGCCGCACTCAGAGACGCAAAACGACTTCGTTCGATGGGGCAGCCATGAAGAAGGAGTATCGAGCATAGCCGGACATCGGTGCTGTTGCTGCTGCTGCGGCAGCTGCTGCTGCTGCAGCTCCGGCTGCTGCTGCGGCTGCTGCTGTGGCTGCTGCTGCTGCTGCTGGTGCTGCTGTTGCGGCAGCGGCGGCTGCTGCAGCCGCTGCTGGGGCTGCTGCTGCGGCTGTTGTTCTGCCTGCTGCTGTGGCAGCTGCTGTTGCTGCGGCTCCTGATGCTGCTGCTGCTGCTGCTGCAGCTGCGGCTCCTGCTGCGGCTGCTGTTGCTGCTGCTGCAGCTGCTGCTGCTGCTGCTCCTGCTGCTGCGGCGGCGGCTGCTGCGGCTGCTTTTCGCTGCTCACTTGTTGAGCTGCCAGGCAGCCCTGCTGCTCCTGCTGCTGCTGCTGCTCCTCCTCCTCCATCCTGCTGCTGCTCTATCTGCCCTGAGAGATCACATTAGATTCCTCAGGTGCAGCAGCAGCTGCGACGGCTGCTGCTGCAGCTGCTGCTGCTGCCGCTGTTGCAGCTCTTACTTCGTTCCTGCTTCACAGTTATAGAGGGATGCCACCACTTTATTCTGCAGCAGCAGCAGCAGCAGCTGCTGCTGCTGCTGCTATATCTGCTTCTACTCTTGCTGCTGTTGCTGTCCGTCCTACTGTCGCTGCTGCTGCTGCTGCTGCGGCTGCTACTGCTGCTGTTGCTGCTGCTGCTGCTGCTGAGATTTTGTCCTTCCGCCGCTGCTGCTGCAAAGGGGTCCGTACCTGCTGCTGCTTCCTCCGCTGCTGCTGCCGTTGCGTTTCTGCTGCTGCTGCTGCTGCTACCTCGTCGCGAGCCTACACATCATGCTTCCTGCCCCCCACCGACGGTTTAGGGTTTGGGGTTTAGGGTTTAGGGTTTAGGGTTTGGGACTGCGGGCCTCGATCCAGCGCTCTCTCCCTGGGCCTAAAGAAAAAGATGGTTTAGACTTGGAAATTAGGGTTTAGGGTTTAGGGTTTAGGGTTTAGGGTTTGGGGCTTTGGGTTACAGGTCAACGCAGCGGGAGTCTGCTGCTGCGTTGAAGACGCTGCTGCTGCTGCTGCTGCTGCTGCTGTTGCTGTTGCTGTTACACCTTGAGGAATAACTAGACAAGCAGCCGGAGCGCATACAGAAGGAAGCTTCTGCTGCTGCTACAACTGGTGCTGCTGCTGCAGCCGCTGCTGCTGCTGCTGCTGCTACTGTCCTGTGAGCCGCCTCCCAGGATATTTAATAATGCTGCAAATATTTATTTCTTCTATTTAAAGGTTTTCATTAAATCATTTTTCCTTTTTATTAAAAACAAGATTGAGGACCAACAGTGCCTGCTCGACGCTGCAGCAGCAGCAGCTGCCGCAGCAGCTGCTGCTGCTGGGCGTGCTGCTGCTGCTGCAGTCGCTGCAGCACGCGCAGCAGCAGCGACTGCGGCGGCTTCTGCCTGTAGGCAGTTCAACGTACTCCTGTGAGCAGCAGCAGCAGCAACTGCAACAGCAGAGACGGCAGGAGCAGCAACAGCAGCGGCAGCAGCTGCAGCAACCGCAGCAGCAGCAACTGCAACAGCAAGTGCAGCAGCAACTCCAGCGACATCAGCAACAGCCACAACAGCAGCAGCAGCAGAAGCAGCAACAATAGCAGCAACAGCGATTGCTGCTGCTGCTAACTAAAGAGGGGTCTTGGGCAAGTTTGCGAGTGTCTGCTGAGGTGTATACGCAGCTCCAGGTTACGTACACCGCAGCTTGTGGGAACGCAGCCACAAAGAGGCTTTTTAAAAATAATAATTATTATTTTATTAATTTTTAATAATAAAAAAGGAAACAAAAAGAAACAAAAAGAAAAAAAGAAACAAAAAGGAACAAAAAGAGGCGAAACTTCACAGACGCCAGCCTAAACCCTAAACCCTAAACCCTAAACCCTAGGACAAGTTTAACTATAGTCGGCTTCCACTATGAAGGCTTCCATATGCGCTTCGACGCACAGCTGCTGCTAGTGCTGTTGCTGCTGCTGCCACTGCTGCCGCTGCTCCTACTGCTGCTGCTGCTTCTTGCGCCTGCAAGGAGGCAGAGCCTGCTGCTGCTGCTCTTGCTGCTGCTGCTGCTGCTGCATAGTCGGATATTTCATAAACTATTTCTGTCTAGCTGCAGCTGGCTGCTGGTGTCACTGTAGGTCCGTTTAGGGTTTAGGGTTTAGGGTTTAGGGTTTAGTAGTGCACCGAACAAGGCTCAGTGGTGGACAGTTAACGGCTAGGGTTTAGGGTTTGAAGGTAAACCCTACACAACCTGGCAAAAGCAGCAGAGCTGCCGGTGAGAGACAAATGCTGAACCCTAAACCCTAATGAGCCAGTAAACCCCTAAACCCTAAACCCTCGAGCGGAGACCCCACGCAAAACCCTAGAGATTAACTACAAAGGGTAAATAAACCGCTGCCCGGTTTCTGAAGTTCAGCAGTTAGGGTTTAGGGTTTAGGGTTTAGGGTTTGAGAGGAAAAAAAACGGGGCAGCTGAACGCCAAACCCTAAAACCCCACACACTTCAGCTGCTGCCTAAACCCTCGGCCTTGCCAAAACCCAAACCCTAAACCCTTGCACGAACCACCGCGCAATGCACTGGCTGCAGCAGCAGCAGCAGCAGCAGCACAGCAAACCCTCAGCCTGTGTTGAATCTGCTCCTCCACCTGCACAGCTTAGGGTTTAGGGTTTAGGGTTTAGGGTTTAGAGTTTAGGGTTTGGGCT